TACGATCGGGATCTCTCTCCTTCTCTCTCTCTTTGGCCTCGCTCGTTCGCTCAGGCGTGCTTTCCCTCCCGGAGCCCTGCCCACGAGAATCTGTAACCCTGATGTAAGGTCTCACCGGACTCTCCGATCTGGTTCTACCCAAGTCTGTTGTGTTTTCATACTTCCGGCTCTTGGCGACACTCTTAGCTCGTTGATAGTCCTCAAGAAGTTCTCTTCGGTGGTTCTCCGATGAGAACCTCTCTCCGGAGGAATGCCCTACGGCGTCCAAGCGATCTTTCAGACCTTTCCGAAGAGGTTCTTTCGAGTGCATCGCAGAGGGTTCATCGAATATCGCCGATTTCTCGACGAGCCGTCTCTTTCCGCCTGATACCGCACCCTCCGCTTGCCTCTCCTCTAAGTAGTCCTTAGTTCTTCCGGGATCGCGAGCATTCTCTTTGCGCTCGTCATACATGCGCTCATTATGCTTATTTTCGGATCGATTACAACGATCGTTCAGTCGCCTCTCCTCGATCCTGTCTTCGATCACACGTTCCTCAGGGCAATTCTCCTCGTTCCTCGCTGATCGTTTTTCCGGCCTTTTCACTTCCTCAATCTTGGATTCTTTCGTGCACCGATCGGTATCGCTATTACGCTCCACGTTCATCGACTCCACGGAGGACCTGCCGCCGCAGTTGAGCTTGTTGCGTACCTTCCTGGCCACCTGCATCAACTCTGCTTGGAACTCCGGACTACTCATACTCCTCTGCAGCGTATTCTTGCCGTCAAAGATACGCGAACGCCTATGTTCGTCCCGACACCAACGATCCTGATGGAGATGATTACTCTGATCGCGCCAAACGAGTCTATTCTCTTTATTGGCGACGCGGCCATCTTCACCTCGCCATCGTCGCTCGTTGTCTAACCCGCTGCCACCGTTTTCACAGCGTTCCGTGACAACATGAATTTGCGACGACGAGGAAGAAGACAGCCAGTTGACCTGCGCTCTCTTCGTCTCTGCTCGCGTCTTGAAGAGGCGCGACCGCCTCGGCGGCGGTTGGATCTCTTCTTCACCGCGACAACCATTCGATCGAATCTGACCAGATTCATTGCACCTAAGAATAACATTCCTATATCGAGACATGGATGTTTTAGACTAACATCAATGTATAAAAAAAGAAACTTTTTGTTTCTATTAATATAATTTATATATGAAAGAACGATTTTGCTGAAGTATCTATATAAAATTTAGCTTAATGTAGATCTGAAAATAATTTTATTATTTTGTTTACTATCATTGTTTATTTGATCTAAATATGACCTCTCTGCCTTGATTTATTTATCATATATAAGAAGATATTTATCATATATAAGAAGATAGACATACCCGTTGCTCCATTTTTCTAGTGTTATATTAATTTATTACTTTTTTCCTTATTATAGCATATTTATATCGTTGATCATTATGTAATCTTTATGTAATTTTTATGTAATCTTTAACAATATTACTGCTGAAGAGCTGTAACTCAAACTTGAAATGTTTGAATTTAATTATTAAATTGAATTTCTACGTTTTTAAATCAATATTATATTTAATATATCATTTTAATTTGTTTGCTTTTATTATTTTTTGGACACTATTGCAAGCTTCAGTTATTAACTTGATTTGGAAATAAATTTACTGCACTATAAAATAATTATGTAAGACTTCCAAAGTGATTTCTAGAATGTCGAAATTTTATGCATTGTTCTCATGCTTGAGTTTCCTACATAATTATTTTGATGGTCCCAAATTATTTTCAGATTTGTATCTATCTAAATTTTTAGATACTTTATCAACATTGTTTTTTTCGTGTAGTCGACAAAAAAAGATTAACGTTAGCAATTTTTATCGATATCATATTTTCAGTAAATAATTATTACTCCTTTTAAGAGAAAGAATGTTTACAGAATTGTTACTAATGGAACCTTTGGAATTGCAGGCTTGTTAAATAATAATAACGCGAGACGAAAACGGACTATTCGTTGTAAAGTATTCATAATATTCTTACCTATAAGAATCTGGAGACGATCCGTCAACGACACCGTTCGTCGGCGGCGCCGGTGCCTTGTATTTCTTCTTGCCTCTATATCGGCTCTCTCGTTCTCTACACTCTCGCTCGGGATAATGCCCGCTTCCGCAATGCCGGTGCTCCATCGCGTGTTGATGTTGCTGCTGCTGCTGCTTCCCGTTGCAGCGTGCAGCCTCTCGCGCCATTGGCGAGTACCGCAGATCGGGCTCGCTGCCAAATCTTTTGAGCTCCTGCATCTCGTTCTCCATACAACATCTCGATCCATTCCCGTAATAGCAGCAATGGTGTTCGATCTTACGGCTGCGTGACGCGCCGATGTTCGATGCTGAAGTGCTGCGGCTGCGAAATATTCCCTGCTGGAAGGCGAGAAGGCAGGGCTTTAAGGATATATGTGTCAAAATGCAAAGTATTACCAAAAATATAAAAATTTCATAGATTGTTCTATTATAACGTCTAAGTATCTGTGTAAATTTGAGCACAATTTTCTTATGGTTTAAAAATTATTTAATTTTTTCGTTAACATTGATCCTTGTATAAAATTGCATTATGTACTCATTTGCAGATTTAATGAGGAAGTAGTATTACGAATTAAATTAATTTTTTTATATAGGTATGTTCTAATAAAACTTTAATAAACTTTAATTTTAATAAAATGTAAACATTCATTAAAATCCACTAATTTTTAAAAATTATTTACATAAAACTGGAGGAAATATGATAATTATGCTTCATGTCATTAAAAGCCAAATAATTTGTTTTATACAATTTTTTTACTAGTTGACTGATATTTTTAGTTGATGTAAACCAGGACAGCCTTAAATCCCGATTTGAATTTCTGATTTACTTTACATTGTTGTAACTATATTTACGACGATCTAGATTTCAACCCTTTGAATGCGCGAACTGGAAATGAACAAAATATGATATTTATGTCTGCTTCTCATAATAAAAGTTCTCATTAACGATTATATGCTTAATGTTAAGAGAATATTTTTATCTCTTAAGTATTACATAAAGGTAGAACGGTAAAGTATAATACTTATTCTTAGAACATTGTTGATTTACGTACGCGATTTCATTCTGATGCGCGTAATAAGCATTATAGAGAACGGAGGCACCGTGACAAAGCGGGGCGGATGAGAAACTGTCGTTTCTGTGCGATCGTCGGCACAAAGCGTTCGATGAAGGCCGTGTGATACATTTCGCGAATTCGCGGTAAAAAGGTGCTCTATAGAATAATCTTAACCGGGTTACGACACATGGCGCTCGGCCAAAAGACGAATTCACGGATTTACACGCGCATTACCTCGCATGAGAATTCTAGACGATGGAAATGCCAGTCCTCCTTTTGTCTGCGGAGACAGAAGGAGGACTGGTTAGGCACGAAATCAGAAGATTAAATTGAGGTGAATCGGAATAAAAAATTATCTTTTCGGCAATTTCGCGAAGGCAAACTTTCACGCTGAAAAAATTCAGAGCAAAAAATATTAATCTTTTCTTACTTTAGGCTAAATACAATTTGCATCTAAGCAAATATGTGGAGCAAGAAGAGAGATGTAGATTTACTACATACATTTGTTTCTCTTCTTTATTTTTAATAGATAAATTTATTTTAATGGATAAAATTAGATGTACAAATTAGATGTAGTGAGAACAATTTCTGGTTGAAAATAGACGAACCAGAAAATTCTGATTATATCAATCAAAATTCTGATATCTCAATTAGAATTATAATAGATTCAAAATTTCTCCATTTTCAACTAGAATTCTTATTTAAAAAAATACAACCAGATTCTTTTTCTAGTTTACAAATTAATATCACTTATATTAATTATATTTATATGTAGAATTTAAAATTATAATAAAAATAGTTGAGGTAAAATCAAACAATGTGTTATTCACAGATAGATGTACAATTTCATCTCAGAATATAAAGAAAAATGGCAAAAAATATTATTAGCGATTCTATAGAAAAATAAATGCACCGATTGCAATTCAAACTTAAGATCTTAGAGAGACTCCTAGCATTTAGAATGAGCGACTCTCAACTATTCTCATGATTATTCATCTGAATATCATTAATTGACTTCAAATTGGCTTTTAATTGCGATTCTTTTTATATTTCCTACCAATAAAATCTTTTTTGTTATAAGAATAAAGATTTTTTATTCCTCATTTTCTTTAGAACACTTCTGATCGTCCGATCACTGCGGAGGCGCATTTATTGCTCCGGAATATCACACTCTCCGAATCGAAGCAATTTGTACCATGTGCATATCTTTTCGTGGAGGCGTTCCGATGAAGCAAACACTTCGTCCTCGAAGTGAATTGAAAACAAACGTGATAATATGTCTCGTGTAAAACGCAAAAATTTATTCTTTGGTCCTTGGTTTATCACAAACAAAATAGATTATGACTAATAGATTATGACAAATCAGACATAACGTTACGTTTCCACCATACTGAGCAAAAATTGAGCACGAACTTCATGAACAACGTATGGTCTAATCTATTATTACCATCCTTGTCTGCCATTGTCTGACAGAATATTTTGTTGTTTTACTTATAACCATTTATTTTGTTGATACGTGACTAAAAAGTTTTCTTACTTTTTTATTTAAAATTATGTTGTTCTAATTAAAATTTAGTCATTTCAAATTTTAATTACAGCGACACACAGTTTTTAAATGAAAAAATAAAAAAGTTTTCGTTAGTTAAACAAGAAAATAAATGCTTACACATATCAAACATTTCTCTATATACATTATTGTTATCAACAAAAATTATCAATCACATGAGAAGTCAGTGATGCCTGGCGATACAAATTTCTGCTCACCCACCGATGATGTATACAACTACAACTACAGTCGTGTGGCGGCTCGCATTTTGCGGCACATGAGGAGCATGGCACGCCACGTCATCAGCGCGACTCGAAAAGCCGCCGCGAATCTTTACCTTATTAAGGTCGTGCGGAAGCGTGAGGGCCGGCGGCCTGCGGCCGCTTATGGTTCCCCCGTTGTGAATGATGCTTCCATTATTGGTGGCGCGTAGCCGCTGATTGGGCGGCTCCGGCAGGACCTTGTGTCCTGTCGGCTGCTGAGGATGATGCCTCCCCAGCTCCCGGGGGAAAGACTGCGTCCACCCGCGTCCAGCAATCTCCTGCGATGGCCCGTTGGACGCGCAATATTGATGGGAGCTGCTGCCGTTGTTGCCCATTTCTATGCCGACCTGGCGTCTCTATGGTGCTCACGATTCGCCATTCATCTTGCATCTGGAAGGATCAGAAAGCGCGGGACCAATTATCTAACGTGTTTGCCTGAAATCCTATTGAGAGATACTGTGGGATCTAATTGGATCCGTAAAGCTGAATGTGCCATAAATCCGCAAATTTTTATGAGAGCAATAAGAATTATGCTGTTTCTATAAAGCATAATATGACTTTCAGAAAGATAAGCTAATCAGCTAGACAGATCAAACAGTTCGCAGGGAATTTATAAGTAAAAGGACAATGAAGTCTATCACGGTGTAAGGATCGGAAATTCTTACGCGATGTAAGGATTAGTAATTAATTAAATAGAAATAATAACAATAGGTAGGAAAAAATAATTAATTACATACTAATTAAATATATAAATTAAGTATTACTTATAGAAATGAGATGATGATTCTAACAAACAAATAAATTATAATGAAGAAGGACAAAAAGAAACAAAACGGAAAAAGTAAATAGATGTAAATGTTAATACAGTTATGAACCAAGTTTAAATACGTTGTAAGACGATCGGTTGGCCAATTAGAAGGATTAATTTACAAACCAGTTCCAATTTCCCTTAAACCATCTGCGTCAAAAGTACGCTTTCGCGTATCAATTCGTTGTCGCTTTGCATAAGACGATTAAGGATTTTAATTAAACGTTAATGAGGGTAATCAATTTGCAAATATGTTGCAGAGTCCGTCCCTTAAATACTCTTCGGTACTACACTTTTGCATAATAACTCGCTATATTTTAACGCCTAGTACACATCTAATTAATATTTTTTCCGTAAGAAATACATTTTACGAGCCAACTTCATCCATGATAGTCTCCTCACTAAAAAACCCTTCGTATGAATATATAGTGTACAGAAGCGCAGTATTTTCTTCTCAGTATCAACATGAGAGAGAGAGAGAGAGAGAGAGTGCAAGTATTGTATAAAAATATCATTAATTCCATGTACTAATTCATAATATTCCTCCGTTTATCCTTCCTGTTCTACTAAAAAAAATACTGTTGCTTGATAACATTTTGTATGAGACGAAGGACGACGGTTCGCGAAGCCATTGATAAACGAAGAGTGTACGTAGCTTCGGGAAGCAAGAGGGAGAGGGCGGAAAAAGAGGAGAGTAAACGCACGCGAGTTGACCGAACGATCCGAACGAGCAGGCCGATTATCTTACAGTTAGACGTGGCTTAACCTCATGTCAGTCGTGTCGGGTTAAAGGAGAGAAAGAGAAGGAGAGACCATAGGGGAGAGAGAGAGGATGGTCTGGGTTGCGTCTTTCTAAAGTAAGTTCTTCCATTCACCACCGGTACAAGAGCAGGTGCCCCAACCTGCACACGCGACCCGTCCGTGTCGATCGACCGGTAGTACCGCTAGCCCGGGTTGAGTAAGAGCGATGCGAAAAGCGCTGGAGAAAAGTCGTCGTCGTTAAGGTAAATAGCGCAAGACGAGTAAGGCAGTCCCTGTTAATGCATCTCGTTCATTCAACTGTGTGGAAACGACACGGCGGCGCGTGGAAAACTGGTTTTCCCGCGCGCCTCTTCTTCTGGCTCTCGCTCTCGCTCTCTTTCTCTTTGTTTCCGCAATCCGATCCTACGATCGAATCGAAAATAAAGCACTGAGATCGAATCGTCGCTCGCGTGCGAGCCTCGATGCCGGCTTAATATTCGCGAAAAATTTGCGAGGTGAATGAGCGAAATTACGCTCGCGATTGCGCTCAAGAGGCGGATAATACTGACATCGATATCCGGCGTATATACGAAAGGCGACGATCTGAAATACAGGTTTCCACCGGTGAAAAGCTTGTATTATATTTAAGATGAAACCGATTGATCGATAAATTGCGAAGTGCAAATGATGCCTTAGATATTCCTCGATAGCTCAGAGCTTAGGATATTGTTGCGTGAATGCAAGTTCTGCGTTTTCTGAAATAGGAAGGCCCGACTTCAACACGTTTCACTTCCGCAAACAGCGGTGAAACAACGGGGACCAGATTGATCAATATCGTAGACGGAAGAATAAAAAAGACACCGAGTGTGTTTCTCACAGTTTCACTTCCGACAATGTGCATTTGGAAATTCACGCAACTTACAACTATTTAAACGCGGATACGTACGTGCGGAATTTTACCATAAATGATAATAAATGCGCAATAAAATATTAACTGCGCCTAATATGAAACAATTCTGTGACAATACTTGAGGCATCACGATCTTTTAAGTAATTAAACTTATGTAATTCGTAATTATTGATACATTGTATACATGAATATAGAACCAATGGAAAAAATGTCCTGCAAATTCTAATTATATGAATCAGATTCTTGGATTATCTCAACTGTTAAATTCATAATTATACCCAATTTGGGTTATTTTTAATTATTTTCATCCCTCCTTCAAGATGAGTTAATTTAATTAAAACATGAAGTTTAACTCAAGAAAATTATTAAACTTGACTTAAATTTAATTTTACTAACAATAAGTACGTTAAAATATTATTGTTTTAACTTAAGAGATTGGGTCACCAGTGCTTCTTTAATATTTAACAGTGTAGAATGTGACAGATCTAATTAAAAGCGTTTGATTTATACCTTTCTGGTTGAATCTATCTAGAAGTCTGATCGAACCTAAAAATAATAGAGGCTCTATCTATAAATATCACACGACAGCTAATTTTTTCTTAATTATCATTTTTATTGCGAAGCACAATTGTATATGGGGAAAAATCATGACAACCTGAAGACACATCTTGCTATTCGCTTGGCGTCATTGGCGTCGATTCTCCAGTGGATTCGCGCGCGATTGTCGTGCCGCGGCGAGAGGATTCTTCGGGGCACAAAGTGGCAAGTGATGCATGACGGATGGCGGCGGTTATGATAACTCGAGCGTAGGGTATCCGCGGGGAGAAGACGAAGGAGGAGAGAAGGGAGCAACATCAGGAGGAAAAGGAGAAGGACGAAGCAAAAGGAGGTGGTGGAGGAGGAGGAGGAGGAAGAGAAGGAGCGCAGGGGGCGACGAAGCGCGAAGGAACCCAGGCAGTGAGAACGAGGAACGAGAAGGCAGGGGAGAGGAGGACGTTTGCCCCCTCGCGATGATCATCGCCGAGAGTCATCGAACTTGGAAGGATAGGAAGAACGATTCTCCGTCTGCCGTCTTCTCGTTCACGATAGCTCGGCGCGAGCAAGCTAGGATGTAGGATAGGCAGGCAAGACAGCTGCGCAGCCCCGGCTATCTGGAGGAACTCGAATCGAACCCGGACTGTATTCCCGAGCGATATACATACGCCCACGTGTCGCGATTGTCGGCACAAATCATGCGCTTCCTGCTGCACGCGCCATGCAAAAACCGTCCGAGCCGACAATTCCGATCCAATCGGATCGAGCGAGTCGCGCCAGGTAGTTCGTATCTTCCTTTTTTCCTCTTTTCCGCGTTTATTCGTGACGCTTGGAAACGAGATGATGCGTGTCTCTGCCTCTGCCTCTCCCTCTTCCCCTCTCTCTCTCTCTCTCTGTTTTTCTCGCGCGATTCACGCAATGCCGGAGTTCTGTTCAACCAACGAAAGAATCGGAAGCAGAACCGCGCTCGCAACCTGTTATTAGAGATTGGATTCGGTATTTCGCAATGAAAGTATCATTCGCTGCATACAGTGTGTTTAGACTGAGATTCAAATCCACACGCAAGAGATAAAGTTCGGGAGCTTACTAGATTGGAAATGATACCAACACGCGGGAGCCATTATTACGTTTCTGGATTTACGAAATGAAAGAGCGCATATCTTCTGTTTCAATAGCAACGTTTCATTCCGTATTACTGCCTGTCCTTCATATGTATTTCACTTTACATAACCATGCATTTCGTCTTCCGACACGTTTACTTAATGCTAATAATCTGTTCAATGCGCAGGTACAATTTTCCTTGACTAAAAGTAGCAACTGAACGTAGGTGGCATGTGACTTACTGTACCAGTCCGTCTCCAGGATTGAACAGAACCGTCTTAGAGAAACAATGCAATAGTGACTAAAATTATTTAGGAAAGAGTAGAATCACTTACGTTCGTTTCTATTAGGTGTTGGAATTAATTCGTAGCGTTTTACAAGTGATGGGAAGTACTTTCATTAATGTATTTTTTAATGCTCATGTGAAATAAATAACATTCTTTCATTAAAAAACGCTACGAATTAATTCCAACACCTAATATCAATGTAGATAATCTCGCTTTAAATTATTTTTTATCTTGTTCTAATTCTAGTGCTCATTTCTATAAATATAGATTAATTTTAATCTCGATTCAATTTACTCTTCATCTTTTTCTAATTTTTAGAACAAAAAAAATGAAATGAATTAGTTGAGATTCAGGATTCAAAATTAAACAAAAAATAAGTTCAACTGAGTGTTAGTTAATCTGCCTCGATAGAAATGGACATTAGAAGATATAATTACGTGTACCGCGTCATCCGATAATAATGTCCAAGTATAATTATTATGTATGTACAGCAATATGTATTACAAGGACAAGAAAACATCTATTCCGTCAATAGTAAGTATGATTAAAACTGTAATAGGTTCTCGAAACAGCAACTAAACATTTCTGCAGAACAAGATTGAAGTTTCAAAGTCAGATAGAACCGTCTCACTTAAACCGATGTAACCGTGTGTTCCGTCATCCGTAGAACAGTGTCCACCCTGTATAACCGCGTGCCCCGTCTTCCGACAGGAACGTTCTACCTTGTAGAACCATGGCGGCTTCGCGAACGCTCGTAAAGAACAAAATGCCAATCCAATTTCCCGGAAGGTCTCACTCAGACGAGTCTCTTTATCTCTCTTGCCCTCCCGTGTTCTCCATCTTCTCTTCGATCGGTTAAGGAGTCAGGCTCTTCCTTTACTCGGGGATCTCGCGGGGAGACATTCCGCCACGCGAGAACGCCCGCTGGAATTTAACCGTTGCGCCCTCGGGCTC